GCCAGACTTGCAAGGTAGAATTCGTATCATGATAGTGGGGCCGGAGAGGAAGCATTTAGGAACTAGAGGAAAGTTGTGTTTTTCATCGTTGCTACATGGCTCCCTGACTGGCTCGTGGATTGTATCCTTTTATTGCACTTATTGAACCTCTTCCTTCAGCACTATTCTTGCTCATATGCTACCTCCTGAAATGGTGAGCTTTTGACTGGTTCTTTCTGGTATAGTGACTGCATTCTTTCCATCTTCTCTTAACACTTCCTGCATCTTTCAATATTTTGCCTGTAGAATCTTTCAAAATTGCTGTTCGAGGCTTGAATTTTTTTAGTTCTTTCAGTTTCAGATATGCTGAGTGTGTTCTTCCCTTTTGGTTTTCTAATTCTAGGTCCGTACACATTTCGTTATAATGTTTGACTTTGTTTTCTTGAGCTGCCCTTTGAAATTTTGTTCAGCTCTTTTACTTAATCCTTTCTTCTATTTGCTTAGCTACTCTACGATTAGTAGCAAGTTTCAGAATCTCTTTTGATAACCACTTTGATCCTCGTTTTCCCCTGTCTTGTTAATGATCTTTTGCTTTCTTTATGAATGATATTGTTCTCAGTGCCCTCCCACAGCTCATCAGTCTTCTGTCATTAGTGTCAAATATGTTGAGATGTTCTCGATATTCAGGTGGGATAGACTCAAGGTGGTATTTTGGCTCTTGTAGACTTGTTTTCATTTTCTTCAGCTTGATCCTGAACTTACACATAAGCAATTGATGGTCTGTCGCCTGGTCTGGTTTTAGCTGCTGATACTGAGTTTCTCCAACATATATTCCCACCATTGTAGTCAGTTAAATTTCTGTGTATTTCATCTGGGAAAGTGCATATGTTTAGTCGCCTTTTGTTGTAGGAAAAAAGATATTTGCTATGAGCAAGTCATTGGTTTGGGAAAATTCTGTTATGCAATCTCTTTCTTGATTTCAATAACCAAGTCCAGATTTTTCCATCTGTTCCTTCCTCTTTGTTTCCAGCTTTTGTATTCCAATCACCAGTAACTATCAGTGCATCTTGATTGCATATTTGATCAATTCCCAAGTCAGGGCGCTGGTAGAATTCTTCAATTTCTTCATCACTAGCTTTTGTGATTGGTCCAAAAAGTTAAATAATGTATTGATTGCATTTCCTTGAAGACAGATAGATGTAATCTGATCACATGATCGTATTTCACGGTGGATTTAGCAAGATCATTTGTGAGAGCGAATGCCACAGCATTCCTGCTGATAACAAGGGTGGGTGTTTTTTGTTTTTCCTCCAAATACTTCATGGTGATTTGGCTGAAAGTTTACGGACCACTTTAGTTTCCCATTCAACAACATTTTGTTTTGTTCCTCTTTTCCATTCTTCCTTGCTTCCTGCCCTTAGCTTGCCTTCTGACTTTTGGTTTTTGACAGATGCTGCCATTGGTCTCAGATGGTTCCTCACAGGTGTTTTTGTTCTCCTAGAGACCTTTTTATTATTTGTCTGAAAGTAATCCCCTGGGCTTGGTTCAGTTCCAGATCTAAAGGGAAGCTCGAGCCATACCCTCAGGTGCCAGCAATCTCTGTCAAGTCAGTCCATTGCCATCCTACTGCTGTCGATTACGTAAGGTTTCTGAGGCTGTAAATCTTTATGGGAGCAGACAGCCTCCACGTTTTTTTTTTCTCAGAGCAGCTGATGGTTTGATTCACTGAGTGACCTTTTCAGTCAGCAGTTAGCGCCACGAGGGCTCCTTATTAGTTTGAATTTTCTACATTTCTCTCCCTTTGTGTCCAGGACCTTCTAATGTGATGCCAGTCAGGGTAGTTAGAAGTGGTAGCCAGTTCTGAGTCTTCTGATCTCACACTAGTAGAGACTGTGGTTCGTGTGGTCCATTAAGAGCCTTTGGACTACAGTAATTGTTTGTTTTTAATTTTTTCACTCTTTACCCCAGAGATCAATAGTTGCATCTTATAGGTGCTCAAAAGCTCTTAAGGTCCCATTTACTACTCACCAAAGTAAGATGTTCAGCATTGACTTTATGCCAGTTGACCTAGACACTCCCTGAGACAATGGCCCTACGTCCCCAAGCCCCGTGACTCATTCCTTCAAAGTGTGTGATTATGGTTAAGAAATTGTAATACCTTTGCCCCCTGTGTGCTCTTATGTGGATATATTTGCAACACATAAAATTATGTGTGTAGAAGTATCCACTGACAAACCTATTTGTAGGTATACTCCTATATGTCATTCCACACCTGTTCATCTACGTTATCTGTTTCCATGCATCGATTACTGTTCATATGTCATATTATATATATAAACATAGTGTATGTGTATTAATAGTATATCTATTAATAGTATTTACTATATTGTTAATAGTATTACATACCTATTAATCTATTAGTATTAGTATTGTATATCTATTAATAGTATTTGCCATTGTTGCTTTCTATTCTTGCATACCTCCCATTGTCTTCCTTTGCTTTGATCATGTTATACTGATCTCCCCATTACTGTATATTGCCTTTCCTGTCACCCAAATTCATAGTGTCTACTCTCTAGTTAGTGATTTCCCTCCCCCTCCCCCCTCCTCTCCCTTTCTTACAACCATCATGTCAGTTCTGGCTCATAGCAACCCTATAGGACAAAGTTGAATGGCCTCAGTTGATTTCCAAGGCTATAAATCTTTGAAGGCATAAAACCCCATCTTCCTCCCACAGAGTGGTGGTGGGTTCAAACTGCTGATCTTGCAGTTAACAGCCCTGTTTGTACCCCTACTCCACCAGAGTTCCTTTTTTTATCCCTAGTAACGGTTTATTTCAGTATGTAAATCTTCCCTTGACTTAAAAAAACAAAACTAAACTAAAAAACCTTTTCATTGTGAATTAAGTGAGGTTTACATTTCAGATCATTATTTTTGTATTCGACAACTTAAACAACTTATTAAACCCTCCAAAAGTTTGTTTTTCTTGACTTTATAGAGTAGCGGTCTCATATAATACTATTTGTCCTTTTGTGATTGATTTATTACACTCAAACTGTCCACCAGGTTCATCCATGTAATGCGATGCTTCATGGCTTCATCGCTACAGTCTGTTCACCCACCCATTGATGGGCACTCATGGTTGTTTCCATCTTTTTGCTCTTGTGAATAATGCTATCTGTGTCATGACTTTTATTTCTCTAAGCTATATACCAAGTACTTGGGATCAGAATCCAAGCTAGTCAGGCGTAGCCTTGAAAAGGAATGTATTGATTCACAACAGTGGGAAGTGCAGAGCTCTGACTGGTCTCCTACTCAGATAGACTCAGGACTCAGTTGATGCTCACAAAATGTATGTGCATACTTTGGCACTTTTTCTTTCTTCGTTGGGTCCATTCTTGGGCAGGCCCTCAGACAAGATGTCTGTTGGGTAGCTAAGAGTTAATGTCCTGCAAAGAGAGAATGCCTCCTTGGGGGGGAGGGGGAGCACAGCCAAGTCCAAGCACTGACTACTGGTTTGAATGGGATGCCTTCCCACTGCCGAGCGAAGCGTCCCACCTGACTGGCCACTGGGTGGAGAAGAAGGGGTAGGAGAGGCACCAGGAACTTTAGTGGGAGTGAAGTTGCCATGGAAAATGGAGGTGTATGCTCAGGAATGGGGACTGGAAATGGGCAAGGACTCATTTGAAGGATGTAGACCAGTGGTTTAAGTTAACACTGTAAGCAGAAGGGATTTGATACCTGATGTTGAATGCATAAATTGTTCTTTTTGATGTGTTTCAGCATCTCCATGATGCGGTGAAGAGGAATCTTGATAGTGCTACCTCCCCTCAGAATGGCGATCAGCAGAATGGCTACGGAGATCTCTTTCCTGGACATAAGAAGACACGCCGGGAAGCCCCTCTGGGTGTGGCTGTCTCTGCCAATGGCCTGCCTCCCGCCTCCCCTCGGGGGCAGCCTGACCACAAACCTGGTGGAGATGGCCTCCAGCCCAGTGGAAAGCACTCACTGGCCCTGGACTCTGTCAACAAAAAGTGTCTGGCTGACTCGAGCCTCCACTTGAATGGCAGCAGTAACCCCAGTGAGTCCTTCGCCATGAGCTTGAACAAAGAGCTGAAGCAGGAGCCTGTCGACGACCTGCCCTGCATGATTGCTGGGGCAGGGGGTTCCATATCACAGAGCAACCTCATGCCTGACCTGAACCTGAACGAGCAGGAGTGGAAGGAGCTCATCGAGGAACTGAACCGGTCAGTGCCTGATGAAGACATGAAGGATCTCTTCAATGAGGACTTTGAGGAGAAAAAGGACCCGGAGTCTTCCGGTTCTAACACACAGACTCCCTTGGCACAGGACATTAATATTAAGACAGAATTCTCCCCAGCAGCCTTTGAGCAAGAACAGTTAGGCTCTCCTCAAGTGAGAGCTGGGTCTGCAGGACAGACCTTCATGGGGCCTTCAGCTGCCCCTGTGAGCACAGCTTCCCCCAGCCTCGGGTCCTCTCAGACCATGTTCCACACTTCTGGTCAGCCGGGGGTGGAAAATCCTAGCGCAAACCTGATGCCGGCATCAGCTCAGACCCAGAATGCACAGAGAGCCCTCCCTGGTGTGGTGCTGCCCAGCCAGGGCACAGGAGGGGGTGCAGAGCTGTCCTCTGCCCACCAGCTTCAACAGATTGCTGCCAAGCAGAAGCGGGAACAAATGCTCCAGAACCCACAGCAGGTCCCCTCAGCCCCAACTGCAGGCCAGATGTCCACATGGCAGCAGACGGGGCCCTCCCACAGTCCCTTACATGTTCCTTATTCCATGGAGAAGCCTGCCAGCCCTCCCAGCTACCAGCAAGACTTCAGTAACTCCAAACTGCTCATGATGACCAATGTGAACAAGAGCTCTCCTCGGCCCGGAGGTCCCTACCTCCAGCCTGGCCACGTAAACATGCTGAGTCACCAGCCACCAAGTAACTTGAATCAGAACTCCGTGAATGCACAAGGACCCATGCTGGACTATGGCAACACCAAGCCCCTGTCTCACTTCAAAGTGGACTGTGGGCAAGGAAACCCTGGGCCTGGCCAAAACAAGGCAGCTATGCTGTCTTATCTACCGCAGCAGCTGCCTCACCTGAACAGCGAGCAGAACTCCTTGTATCTTATGAAACCAAAGCCAGGAAGCATGCCTTTCCGGTCCCTGGTTCCACCTAGCCAGGTAAATCAGTAGCTTCACTTTCTGGCACATGCTGTAGACACAATGAAGCTGGAAGGTAAACTGGAAGAAGAGGGAGGGAGGTGAGCAGCTGCTATTGGCCTTTAACCTGTGGGAGTGAAAATCTTCTTTAGAAAATAAACCAGGGTTGATTCATAAGCAAAAGTAGAGTGTAAAGGTCCTCAATCTAACTTTATTTTTAGCTAGAGGAATACATTTAGTCCGCCAGTCATCTGTCACTGCTCTTTATAGATAACGCTCACATTTAATGTATTTCTTAGCAACTTTGGGTTGTTTTTTTTCAGGGAGGAGGTACCCCCTCATACTTTATATAATTTTAAAATTTCACGATCGCAACTTTGCATTTTGACCATCGGTCAAAACACCAGTTCCCAATACATCTAAACTCTAGATGTTTAGGTATGATACTCAAGCCTGGCAGAATTATGTGATTCCATATGGTAGAAAATGGCCACAAACTAGTTACTTATTATCATGATCATTACTTGCATTTTTAAAAATCATTTCATTGGGGGTGCGTACAACTCTTAGCACAATCCATACATCCATCCATTATGTCAAGCACATTTGTACATTTATTGCCCTCATCATTCTCAAAACATTTGCTTTCTACTTGAGCCCTTGTTATCAGCTCCTCAGTTTTCCCCTCCTTCTCCGCCTCCACTCCCTCATGAACCCTTGATAATTTATAAATTATTATTATTTTGTCATGTCTTACACTTTCTGATGTCTCCCTTCACCCACTTTTCTGTTGTCTGCATTATTTGCATTTCTACTCACATTCAGAGAGGTCTTAAAATTTGTCCCATTCCTGGAAGCTAGAGCTTACAGTATTAACAAACATGGAGAACTTCCCCCTGACTCCCAAGACAGAGAATGGATCATGACTCACATCTCTCACTTCCCAGGGTACTCTAGCCTGACTTTCATATCTGCCCATCACTACTCCAAAAAAAGGCTGTCTTTGAGTCGGTTCAGACTCAGAATCACTCTATAGGACAGGGTAAATCTTCCTCTGGCTTTTTGAGACTGTAACTTTATGGGAGTAGAAAGCTTTGTCTTCTCCCAAGGAGCTTCTGGTGGGTTTTGAATTGATGCCCTTACAGTTAGCAGCCCAGTGCACAACCCACTACACCATACGTAGCCCATCACTTCTTTTTCATAGCTGTAGAGTGTTCAATGTAGATGCAGCACAGCCACATAACGGCAGCTTAGGTTGTCTCCTGTCTCTGCACACTTGTGGCACACTCTTGCATTTTAGAAATGACAAAACCAAATGATAATATGAAGAATGAGCACACTCCAGTTTTGATTGGAGCTGTGTCCATGGCTATTGTGCTTTGGGGAAGTCATTTGGCACTATATCTTTTTCATAAGCCATAATGTTCACAGGTATCAGCACATTCTCCCCCTGCAAGTTCACCTTAAGAAATCGCTCCCAAAAGAAGGGAGGTACATACAAGGTTCTCAGTGCATGCTTATATCTAATGGCTGAAAAAAACAGGAACACGTGACACATCTGCGTACACGCACGACAGTTTCAGCAACTCCCAGTTACAGGAGGCAGGTCTAAATGTCGACCTTGCATTTATTTTGGCCATGCAAAACAGCCTTGAGGAAGAGAGGGACAGTGGGGATTACTGTCATCTGTGTAACATTGTGTAACTCAGAGCACTTTCAGATCCCTTCCGCTCCGGATAATTGAGGCGAAGAAGTCAGTGTCTGACTGTCAGCAGCAGGTTAGAGATCTCATCGAGATGGAATGGCTGCATGAAGAACTGCAGGGAGGCTCACATGGCAGTTGTCCTGTTTTTGAGTTCCCGTTCTAAATTTAAGTGATGATGTTGGAAAGATTTGTGGTGTTCTGTGATAGGAATCTTACTTTTTGGTCCTTGGGTTTATAGGTGATACCTATTAAAGTTCATATCAATACTCAGTCATCTGTGAACATGAGTATTGGTACAAAACCAAGCAGTCTTTTTCTAGAAAATTGGTTGTTCACAGGTAGACAAATGATAATAGTTTCAGGGATGGCCCTGAATCCAGAAACTCAAAGGTTCCATTCAGTGCAGCATCTCCATCAACCAGAGCCCCTCCCCCCAAGGTTTGGCCCATTTGTAGCCTTTCTGTATCCCACCTGACACAAGGACCACATTATCTGTATTGACAGGAACAGAACCCTGCCAGTGTTCCTCATGTGTCCACATCCATGCCGACGCAGGCCACTACTGTGGGGAGCCAGACGCCGGCCGTGTCTATAAGCAGCACTCACAGCAACGCGCCCTATCTCAACAACCAGCAGGCAGCAGTCATGAAGCAGCACCAGATGCTTTTGGACCAACAGAAACAGAGGGAACAGCAACAGAAGCACTTGCAGCAGCAGCAGCAGTTCTTACAAAGGCAACAGCAACTTCTGGCGGAACAGGTGACAAGAAAATGGGGGTGCCCTTCCCCTTAGGCTGGCCTGCATCCTAACTCGGCAGGGTCTACAAGCCTGTTCACTGTGCATTTGCCTTACTCTGCATGTTACAAACCTTTCTTGGGTGTTTTTCAGACCATTATGGCTTATGTTAAGAACCTCTTTGTATCACTCACCTACTAAGGATTAATGAGGGCAGAATGGAGGTCTAAAAACTACACATAGGAATGTTCTCATGTACCTTGCTGGCCATTTTCAAGCCACTGAGCTCCCTTGTAATCTGGTTTGCTCTGGAATCCTCTTTTGTTTTAGAGCATGAAAAAATTCTGAGGTTCTAGAATCAGGCCAACAAACCCCTCCCAATCTTACCACTCTACCTGCAGGCCCTAAAGGTTAACAGATGCTCCCAGGGCATGTGGATATGATTGAGGACCTCTTTGAAACCCACATCACTGCCTCAGTTCTGCCCTTCTTTGTTTTTGTGGGGTTTATATTTTTGTATGTGTTTGTGTAAAAAAGGCCTGAGGGTTGACCTCCTTTGGCAACACGAGGGTGAAGGAGAATCCAGGGCCATGCCAACCAAGGCTGCTTTGTATGAGGCAGAGGTCAGACAAACCTCCTCCCTCCATCCTTCTATGACCTTGTTCTGACACCAACCGCCCTGCCCACAATGCACTACTTCTCTGCTGGGCTCTGTAATCGTTACAGTAAGTACACAAAACTCACAGAAAATGCTCACAATTCAGGGGTTAAGTAGCAAGTTAATTTAGTTTTTATTAGTGAAAGTAACAGGCTTCAAAATGTGATTTTTTTTTTCCCCCCCATCTGGGGGGCCACTTCTTAGCTGCTGGGCACATCTCTCTCTCGTCATATCCTCTCAGCCACATGGTCCCCTGGCCTCTGCCCTGTTTGAACAAGTGTTACAGAGCTGCTTTGGCACTGTGGGTTCCTGTAGGCACTCAGTTTTACTCTCTTTGGGCCAAGAAAGCCTGCCACTCATGACTCCTCTTTATGTTGGTGGTGGGATTCTCCTTGATTGAGATGGCTCACTTTATACCCTGTGGAATGGCAACTCAGACCAGTCCCTGAGTTAGAGTCCTCTACACCTTATTTGCATGCTCCCACCCAGTCATTTGATATGAGTTACATAGACTGTGGGTAGAAGAACCATACCAGGTAATTTTACCGTGGTCTAAGCCCACACACCCAGTAGTAGTTTCATTAGGTTATAACATGATTTATATATAATTTGCCAATTTAAGGTATGTGTTAAGTAATAGCTTCATTGGGGTACAACTTAAGTAATTATATATGTTACCATCTTAAAGTATACAATTCATTGATTTTTAGAATGATTCATTGATTTCCCGACAGACAATACAAAACTCTGTGTGGGTCTATTTTCCCATTTCTCTGGACTATGTGCCTAGGAATGGAAATGCTTGATCATATGGGACTTGATCACTGAGAATACCTGACCTTGTGAGGAACTGCCATGGACTGCTGCAGGGACCTTTCACAGCAGCTGTGCCACACTACACGCCTGCCAGCAGCATAGGAAGTTCCTTTCTTCACATCATCCCCAACACTTGTCACTGTCTGTCATTTTTGTTCTGACCATCCTAACGGATGTGACGTGGTAATCATGTGACTGATTTACATTTCCCTGATCTACCCTGTTGGTTTTTTACTTATACATCCACCTGTTAAAATTCTGTGCTCCTTTAATCTGTCCTGTCCTTCTGTGTCATGTTATTAATTTAAAATCCACAAAGTGAGTTCATTGCACCGTTTGTAATGGTAGCCAAAATGGGTGAATGAATAAATAAGAAAAATAAACTTGCAATGGGGCATTTAACTAAAAACTCACAGCCATAAAGTTGATTCTGACTCATAGCAACTCTATATAGAATGGTAGAGCTGCCCCCTGTGAGTTTCTGAGGCTATGATGGTGTATGGGAGTAGAAAGCCTCATCTCTCTCCCACAGAGCTGCTGGTTATCTCAAACCGCTGACCTTGAGGTTAGTAGCCCAACTCTTAACTATTATGGTACCAGGACTCCAGTGCAGCTTTATTCTTCCATAAGGAGAAATGAAGTCCTATGCATGTCATAATCTGCATTTTGTGACATGGATGAAAATTAAAACATCATTGAGTGAAATAAGTCAGTTGCAAAAGGACAAATATTGTATGATCTCACTGACCATATGTATGTACTCAAGTATAAGCCAACCGACTATCTGCCGAGGCACCTAATTTTACCACAAAAACTGCATTAAAAAATGTGCTGGAAAACTCGGTTTATACACAAGTATATACAGTATATGAAATGAATATGTAGCCGCCAAAGGTGACTGAGTAGTGGTTACCAGAGGTGGAGGGAGGAGGAAAGGGAGAGATTGGTGTAGGGGCGTTGACTTTATGTTAGTGATGGTGGAGTGACTTTAGAAAGGACGTGAGACTGGCTGTAAACTTGAAGAATGCAGTCCGTGCCATTGTATTGTTCAGGTGGCGGATGTGGGTGTTGGCGTCTGCTACAACAATAAAAGGAAGGGAAAACATCTCCCAAGTGAGATCAGCAGCATTATCTCCACAGGAGCTTTAGTGTGAGGAACTAGCTCAGACAATTTCCGTTTCCCTGACCTGGCTTTCTTTTCTGTCTTTCATTGGTTTTGGCTGTTTCTAGGAGAAGCAGCAGTTCCAGCGCCATCTGACTCGCCCGCCACCCCAGTACCAAGATCCGACACAAAACACCTACCAACAACAGGTTGGACAATTCACAGGTAAAGGGGCGTGCGAGCAGTGCTGGGGCTGGGGGTGCCCAAGCACAGGCTCTGCCAATCAGCCTTCTCAACCTAGTCAGTGCTCTAGTGCTAACTGAGCTCCCTCCCTCTGCCTGTCTTCGTGGCGGGTGCACCATGGGCTTAATTGCTCGCATGAGGTTGAATCTCAGGGCCCGGTCTTCTGTGTGCCTTGGAGCAACAGTAAGAGCAGAGGGTGGGAGCGCGGCTAACTAGGAGAAGTACTAGTTAGTGCTGGATCCCTGGTTGTGCAGCTTTTCAGGCAAAATCTTTTCTAATTAAAGGACATCTTCTCATCTGGAAATGACAACTAACTCTTAAGAAAATGTCTTCTCTTATCTGTCTCTTAAAAAACAAAAAGATCCCCTCCTGTTTTTCAGATAAAGAGAGACTTAATGCATTCGTGTAGCCATTTGCTTTTTTTCTTTCTTTCTTCTCTGTTCACTGGTGTCACAGATGATATCGGCGGTGGGTGGTGGCCAGAAAGGGCAGGAAGCATGCCGTGGTCTCTGGTGTGCTCAGGGGACTAACCTCCCTGCTTGGGTTGTTGCTCTAGAAATGAAGAGAGAGAGAGGTTGATGTGCGCAGTAAAATCTGGTCTTTATCTGCCCTCTTAGCCCTTCCTAGAAGAGTGTAGGGGTGTGTGTGTGTGTGTGTGTGTGTCTCTCTCTCTCTCGCTCTCGCTCTCATCAATAACCCTCACTGTCAAGGCTGACCAGAGCTGTGTGTCCCCCTGTGTCTGTGCGTGCACTAGTTGGGATGGTGGGCATTCACGTATGCAGGCCGTTCAAAAGCCTGGGCCTAGGCCCTGATTCCTGCCTTCAGCCTCCCCTAACATTGTTGGGAGGGCTTAGTAAGAGAGAGAGATTGTTTCAGCTCTCATTTCCTTCCTCTACCCAAGTTTGTGTAGGGGCTATAGAGAAAGGAGGAAGAGAAACAGAGTTCTCAGTCTTCAGGGTGTCTCCATGCATCAGCTGCTTAGACCAGAAGCACTCCACAGCAAATTCCCTGAGGACAGTGACCTCTTGGGCTCATTGTCTGCCAGCCAGTGCCTGCCACCCCACCTCACAGTAGGTGCTCCGTAAATGTCTAGTGAATTCATCCTTGCATTCTAGAATCCTCCTTCCCTTGTCAGTCTCGGGTATACACTGTTGGATCTGGCTTGGTGTCTCACACAGTCGCCCTCATTTAGCCCCATACTACTTCTCCATTTTGGGTGCCTTCTCATCTCTGTGGCTCTGACAGCAAGGTCTGAGCCATGGCCCGGTTCCCAAGCACAGCACCTTCCAAACCTGGCTTCAACTCTTCCTCCAGCTTACTGCACACTGTCCCCACACCGCATAATCCCTGACTAGCCTCTTGAAGTGTCTGTGCAGACTGCCTCTCCGTACCTCTGTGCCTTTGCACACATTCTTGTCTCCACTCCTCCTCCTCCTCTCCTACACGACAACTCATTTAAAATCCATTGCACTGTGACACCTCCACAAATCCTGGAGGACATTGACTCTGGCCCTTGGTGCTGTGTGGTTGCTGCAAAGCCTGGTAACTACCTTCATGGCACCACATAGTAATGCCCTATGCCCCTACCCCTACCCTCTGCCTCCCAATGGCAGACCCTTAGCTGGGTTCACTTGTAAGTTCCCACAGCCCAGCGTGGGGCCCACTAGGTAGCAGAGGTTTGCTGGGTGTTTTAAAAGTGAGTGGATGATCCTTGGCTTCCCCACCATTCTTAGGCTGTTGCCTCATTCTACCCCCAACTGTTTTCTCAGTGTGTGCACTGGCCATGAGACGGGGCTAGTGGGCAGCATCGAAACAGTGCTCCAGAAATGCCCAGTGGTTGACCTGGTTTCCTCTTCCCTCCAGGTTCATCTGCTTCTGTGCCCGGCATGAATAACTTGGGTCCATCTAACTCCAGCTGTCCTCGAACGTTCTCTCAGACTGGGACGCTCCTGCCAATGGGCCCTGGACACGGTTCGGTTTCTTCTCTGCCCTCCAGCTCGAGCCAGCAGGATCGGGGTATGGCTCAGTTTGCTGGCTCCCAGAGTGGCCTCTATGGGATGACATCAGGCATAGCACAGATGGTTGCCCAGGCTCCCCAACAGCCCACCAGTGGACACGCCCATATTCCACGGCAGGCCACTGTGGGCCAGAACACCTCCATCTCGGCTGCCTATGGGCAGAACTCTCTAGGGACCTCTGGCCTCTCCCAGCAGCACAGTAAAGGGACCCTGAACTCAGCTTTAACCAAGGCACAGGTCCCAAGGGTTTCAGCAGCCATGGGAGGACAGACTCCCTCGTGGCAGCATCAGGGAATGCAAAACCTGAGTGGCCAGACCCAGGGGAGTCCCAGTGTGAGCCCCTTCACCGCAGCCTCCAGTTTCCGCATGCAGCAAGCCCACCTGAAAATGCCCAACCCACAATTCTCCCAGGTGATGCCCAGCAGACCCATGGCACCCATGAGCTCGGCACCTACGGCAGGGGCCATGTTGCCCTCCCTGAACACACAGCAGAGGACCAGTGCGCCTGCGCCACCACCTCCACAGGGACCCCCATCACAGGTCCTCCCAGGACTGAGCCCAGCTGTGCCTGAGATGGGGTCCTTCAGCCAGAGCCCAGCCCCACAGATGGGGGCCCGGGCAGGGCTGCACTGTGCCCAGGGCTATGCGATGCGGACTGCTGGCCAGGAGCTGTCCTTTGCCTATGGCGGGCAGCCAGGCAGCGGTGGTCTGCCCAGCATGCCTGGGGACGCCGACCTGATAGACTCCCTGCTGAAAAATAGGACTTCAGAAGAATGGATTGATGATTTGGACGACCTTCTAGGGTCACAGTAATGAGTGGGTTTTAAGGTATTCTGTGTATTCATAAAAGCCTATATTTTTGTTCTCAGATTCAAGAAAGAACAAACTGCTTTGGACCAAAAGCCCATGGCACAGAGTGAGGGGGGTGGGGCCAGAGCCCAGTCTGAGGGCCCTCTCTGGGGGCGGGCTCTTTGGTCACATGGCCCCAGGCCAGCAGTTGTGGCCAGTCGGGCTGGCCCCAGCCCATCTGCTGGCTTCATGATCTGGTGTTGGGACAGCAGGAAAGTATCTAAAGAGGGTTTTCCATCCAGATGACCCCAGATACAGCAGAAACCACACTGAACTCCACAGTGACAGGCTTCCAGGACATCTGTGCCATCACGTTCACATCACCCAAGGTTTCTCCGCTTGCCCAGTTTGGGGACAAGTTTTTGTTGAAACTTGATACAGCAGAGTTGTGTGCAGCGGGTAGCATAGGAAAGATTGTTTTTTAAACATATAGGATAGGTGGTGGTTTAAATTAATTAAGGGCATTGAACACCTACGGTTTTCTTCTACTTTGTCAGCTTTCTGGGTGAGGCTGTAAGTGCAGGCTGTCCTACAGAGGCCAGGCCGGAGCAGTGTTTCGAGAGACACCCAGATCTGGTCTCCAGTGTCCCCGCCTGCCCACAGCAGGGAACTTCTTCCTGGTGACATTTGGGAAGCCCTTACTTCAGAGCAGCCCCTCCTTTGCCCCACCCTTGGTCAAAGGACTCCAGACAATCCCCTTAAGCAAAGGAGCACTTCTTCCAGGGTAACTGGTAAAATTGGCTACATAGGATTCCTGTGTCCTTACGTGTCCCAGCTCTCCCGCCTCCTTGAGTTTCTGGGGAAACTGGTTTTCAGCCTGTTAGAGACGTGGTCTTTGTGTCATGGGGCACAGATGTCTTCCCATCACCCGGCCTTCATTCCCATGACCTCCTGGCCCCTTCTTCCTCTCTCCAGCCAAAATGAAAAACTACTTTAGGGCAATGATTTACTAGATTGGAGGGGAAAGAAGGGTCGTTAGAATTCCTTAGGGAACCCAAGCATTGTGATGAAGTGGGATGCTCCTCCCCAGAAAGTAAAGGCTTTTGGGAACTCAGAAAGCAGGAATGTCCTGATTGATAGGAGGCCTGGGTGGTGGGCCCAGAGGAGGAATTCCACTGCTTTATGACTCTTTTCTGCCCCTCCCCATGTCAGATGACTTGCACTTTTTAAGAGAGAATTGCTTTATAACACTAACATATCCTTTCTAAAAATTCCAGTGGATTTTTTTCTTTTAAGGTCTGTGGATGAATGAATTTGACTAAGCTGAGATTCCGAAAAGTAGAGTATTTCATGATGGGCTGTTTGTGGGAAACAAAGATGGAGTGAGCACTTCCATATGATGAAAGCAAAATGGTAAGCACAGGGTGAGACCCTCTGAAACAGAATATTGGAGAGAAAATAACACACTGAAAAGAGTGGTGTGTGTACAGAGCGGTCTGTGGGGAAAACTCGGCCCCAGTTCCTGTCCTGGAAATCTCAGCAGACCAGATGTGGAAACGGAGCCGAGGACAGTACCCCGTGAAAACCCTGAGTTGCGTTACAGGGTGGGGTGGGGACTGCACACACTTCAGTAATTATTTTGCACCAGCGTGCCTTTTTCAGTGAGGGTATGCGGACCCTCCGACCCTCTTCTTCTCTAATAGCCATTTGCCACCCTGGGTGGTGTGTGGGCCATTTCCCTGGTAAACACCCTGCCAGTCTTCCCTGGGTGCTGAAGTTAGCTCTCAAAGAAGGGATGAGTCAGAAAGCCAGTAATACTCCACCCTCAGAGTGAGTTCCCCGATCTAAGGCGAAAGGGTGGCTTCAGTGTGTCTTCTACCAAAAATAGCCAGGCCTCTGGCCGGTTCCAGATCCTGTTCCTCTCTGGGCCTCCCTCTGGCTGCTGCCCACCTCTGACCCTGGGAGGCTGCAGGAGAGGGCATGACCCCATTTGCCCCACGTGGGGGGAGGGCTTGAGCATGTCTCTTTCGCTGCAGTGTCATAGCAATAAAATGTGATTCTTGGGAGGGGGGGAGACGTCTCCCCCACCCCCAGGGAGCTGCCCATGGCTTTATTTATGAGGCTGGTTTCTGGTTAGTTGGAAGAGCAACCATGCAGCTCCTCACTCCCCAGAGCCAGGGCTCACATGAAAAGGGTGCTCGAACTTTGGTTATACACATTTGCTTTGTGTAAATAAATGTTTACAGTTTTATATTAAAGATGGAATAAGAGTTAGATCTGACTGTATATTTTTTACTTTTATAGATTTTAAAACTATGATCCTTTATATATGTTTTTGGGGCGCTACAATAAGTTTTATGGCAACAGTTGGTATTGTTAACTTTTTATTGTCTTCAAAGTACATAAAAATCCTATTAACCCCAATATTCTTCTACTTCCCTTTAACTCTGGTATACACCAAAAAGAAATCTTTACTTTCCTTGTTTTATCATTATAAAAATAATAAAAGTATTTTGCTAGTATTGAAACTGACTTTGTGTTTGACTACTGGGGCGGGGCAAGGTGAAGAGCGGGTCTGTGTACAAATGTTGCATTTGGTGGTTGATTTTCTTTTGTGATTTAGTGGTCTTTAGGGCCACTGTGGGGGGTGTTTGGTCTAAGCCTCAGCAGACTATTGTTGTTTAACGATAGGTATTAGAAAACTGGAGTCGTTCAGAGAAATCTGCCCTCTGCCTGTGTGTCCTCGATTCTGTGTCCAGTATGAGCAAAGTTGGACTAGGTAACTCAGTGATGGTTCTACCTTGACCAGGTCAGAGGCCTTGAACTCCCTCCGGGTGTGCCTTCGCCTGGATTTTGCAGGGAATGGGTCAGTGGCCCCAGGAGAGGGGAGAAGAACTGTCTGGTCTGAGGCAGGCTGGGTTAAGGAAACACAGAATCAGAAGGTACAATTACAGGACTCGAAATGAGAAAGTGCAACAGATAAGACCATATTCACAGCCTTGCTCGATAAGGCTCAGGAAAGGAAAATAAATTCAAAATTCCCCTGAACCCTTTTACAAGAATTCACAGCATGGTGTGTAATAGAGATTGTCCTCATTAGAAGTACAGCCCGAATGCTACTTAGAGGCCCAGATGGCGAGACTTTGGCTCATGGACTTTGAACAGGTTAGGAGGGACCCGTCCCTGGAGAAGGGCGTGGTGCTTGATCAGGTAAAGGGGCAACAAAAAGAGGAAGACCTCGATGAGATGGATTGAGCCCGTGGCTGCGATGATGGGCTCAAACATGGCAGTGACGAGGATGACAGGGTGAGGTGTTCGGCGTACAGATGGTCGCTGTGAGTCAGGGTTGACTCATCACCTGACAAGTAAACCAAAGAAATGAGAATTAGATTGAAGTGGGCTAATGTTGCTGGTTAGGTTCGCAATGATGGATGATGGAGCTGACTAAAGTGTGATGAAATTCAACTCTCTCTGCCCTGGAGATGATGCCACCTCATAGCTCTGCTATGGACTGTGTAGAACTGCCCATTGTGGAAGCAGAAAGCTTCGTCTTCCTCTGACAGAGCTACTGGTGGTTTCGAACTATTAACCCTGCACTTAGCAGCCCAACATGTAACCCCCTTATACCATTAGGCTTCCTTGAAATGTGGTAAATATTTACCACAGTTTTGACTGATATAATGTGGAATGATGGTTTTGTTTAAAAAACTCAAACCAAACTCAGTGCTATCAAGGCAATGCCGACTCACAGTGACCCTAGGACAGGGTAGAGCTGCCCCTGTGAGTTTCTGAGACTGTGTTCACAGGAGTAGAAAGCCCTATCTTTGTCCTGAGGAGAGGCTCGTGGTTTCGAAATGCACAATCTCAGCCCAACACATAACCACTAGACTACCAGGGCTCCTTTAGGGTTCTCATGGGCCAGTAGAAGCGAAATCTGGCCAATAGAACTAAAAAGTTCTTTCTGTGACTCCCCTGTTTAGGGAGAATTTCAAACATGCAAAAGTAGTATAACGAACTTACAAAGCCGTACCCTACTTCAACTCATCTCCCCAGTCTTATTTCAGCTACAGAGACCCACACTATATTTTAAAATCTACACCAGCCCCGTCACCCAGAAATACACTGATATCTGCCGTGGTTAATGTCACCAGATAATGTCTGCAGCTCTGGGCGTCCTGCAGCTGCCCTGGGCCACTTGCCTGGGTAAGAGTACCCCTGTCCAGCCGGGCTCACACCCGATGGCAGGCTCCAGGTGAGAAGGTTACTGCTAGGACCAGGCATTGTCACAGATGGGTGAAATGATTTCAGAGGAGTGGGTGTTGGGAAGAGGGTCGTGGTGGTTCAGTAGAGGAATTTTTGCCTTCCGTGCAGGAGCCCTGGATTCATTTGCCAACTAAGGTACTTGTTTGGGCTTCAAGCCCAAGAGATGGAGGGACTTCTGTATATAGAGACCAAAATAACTAACCTGGAAGGTGGGGGGGGCGGGGGCGGTGTAGTGAGCGATGCACTAAGCTACTAGCTGCAAGCTCAGTGGTTCAGCCACCAGTGAGTCTGGGTGAAAGATGGGGCTGTCTTCGACCCTGTGAAGACTGGAAGTCTTGGAAACCCAAAGGGGCCATTCTACTCTGTCCTGTAGGGTCCTTTATGAGTCGGAACCCACTTGATGGCAGTGAGTTGGTGTGGGAGCTAATTCGCATTAGAGGGGCTCACTGACCCGGACAGGAGTCCCCATCCAATGGCAGCTGTCTGAACAGAATACAATTGGAAGAGGGAGGTCTTGGGGACTCTTTTTAGACCAGTCAACAACTTTGTGAGGCGAGTTACTGAAACTGTTTGCACTTGTGGTTTTTTTGTGTGTTTTTTTTAAACATTTTATTAGGGGCTTATACAACTGTTATCCCTAGCACTTGTGGTCTTAAGTGCCTGAAACAACATTTTCGGTTACTGTTCTTGTGTGCACCCAGCTGTGTAATGTGTCCAGTGTGGTATGGCCTAGCACTGTGTGTAGAGGCGGGGAGTGGGGGGAGGTATCCTCTGGGTGAACTGGGGATGCGTGCTTAGCAGAAATGTAGTAATTTGGAGTGTTAGCCAGTGTCTCTAGTGCTCATACCTCAGGCCCAGCCACTGCCCATCTGCTGGTGGGAGTCTGCTGTTTTGATGTTGACCACATTTCAGTGGAGCTTCCAGACTACGATGGACTAGGAGGAAAGGCCTGGGGGTGTATGTACTTCCCAAAAGCAGCCAGTGAAAACACTGGATCCCTATAGTATAATCCACGATTGAGCTTTGCAATGTCTCTCACAGGCAGCATCTTGTCTACTGTGGGGTCAGCTCGATAGCAGCTAACAAGAGGTGTTGCAGAAGAAACCAACGCAAGTTAAGTAATAATAATAATTTATAAATTATCAAGGGTTCATGAGGGAGGGAGGGGTAAAAAAATGAGCCGATACCAAGGGTTCAAGTAGAAAGAAAATGTTTTGAGAATGATGATGGCAACAAATGTACAGATATGCTTGACACAATGGATGTAGGGATGGATTGTGATAAGAATTGTATGAGCCCCCAATAAAATGATTAAGAAGAAAAAATCTTTACCAAAGCCAACAGACTCCTCTTTCTACCATAGATCAGTTGGTAGCTTTGAACCCCTATTTTCAGGTTAGCAATTTAGTGTTTAACCCATTGCACTATCAGGACTCCTAATGCTCCCTATGGTGAATTTTTAAATGAGGCCAGAACACTGCAGAGAGTATTTAATTAGAGAGGTCTGGAGGCCATCTGGGATGTGACAGAAAGTTCCCCAAGGAGTGATGTGCTGATGACAAGAGGGGGCAAGAACGCTGAGAAAGCTAAGGCAGGCTGGTTGCCCAACAGGTATCTACGTGTAACAAACCCAAAGCCTGCCTAGAGCGGGGGAGTGGGGTCTGGCCTACCGCCCTGTGATTAGGGGTACTATAGTGATCCAACTGAAGGGCAGGGCTATGCTAGGTCCTTGGCTAACCTGCTGGGGGCTTCAGCTTGCCCCATCCCAGAAGATACCTTGGGATTAATCCATACCTGCCATTGTTAACTTTATCAAAAAACCTGCTTAAGACTGGCCAGCATTTGTGGCCACAGCAATGGAAAGGCACGAATTGGGCCTGTGAGCTTGGCCCAAGACGAGTTGAATAGAGTTCCAAGTGCTCCCCTGGCCAGCACAGGAATGGTGAGCAATTGCAACCTGTCTCAAATGTGCTTACTAGAGCATTCCCCCTTTGTCTTCAAGCCTTTTAACACCACTTTTCAGATGGGTCTCCCAAACAAAAATGTCTGCTTCATTATATAGGGGCAAAAATGACCCCAAATTCAAACAATTTCCAGAGCCCCGGGAAGTCTTGAGCAGAACAAAGACAGATCATCAGGATGAAGGATCATCCCTGTCCACTCATGAGGTCATAGTGATGTCCAAGGATTCTGAGAGTCACGCAGCTACTTAAGTAGGATAGGGAACAAACGAAAAGTGTCACAAGCTCATGATTGGTGACAGATCAATTCATCACAGTTGCAGGCAGGAGACAGAACCAGGAGAGGCCTGTGATTGGAATCTGTGCATCTTACCGATTAGGAAAGCTTACCAAAAGGGCTCCGGGCCCTCGGGTGCAGGGATGACTCATCATCATGTGGCCTGACCACTGCCACTGGGTCCATTCTGACTCAGAGGGACCTGACACTAAAGCTTTCCGGGAGCAGAGAGCCTCATCTGTCTCCCTCTCCGTTAGCAGTCCAACACCGACTGACCATGTCGCTACCCCAATTTCCACAGCCTGGAAAATTCCTAAGGGTGAGATTGTCCTTCCCCGGGGCTAGCCAGGGGAGCCTCAGTGAACCCACTCTGGCTGAGGGCACTTTCTTGCATTGCTGGTCAGTGGTCAGAAAGCACTGCAGGCTAACTGGTAAGTGGAAGCTCCGACTAGATTGAGGGCTCCCACTGTACACTGCAGCCTTTGGCCAACCTTTCATTCAGAACGTAACCTCCTCTAACACGGTTTCAAGGACTCTTGCACTCTGGATTGTTGCAAAGCCATATGGACAAGTGTGCTTAATCCAATTGAGTGATGGATTGTTTACGATTTTTAAGAGCCCCAATAAAATGATTAATAATAATAAAAGCAAAAACCACCTCCAATTTCTGCTCCTGGCTTTTCTTTCCTCACTCCTACTTTTTAACTACCCTCTGGTACTTCTACAAGGAAGGTCCCTGCGTGGCATAAATGATTTGCATTTGTCTACTAACCAAAAGGTTTAGTGGTTCAAACACATTCAGTAGGCTGAGGGAGAGAAGCCTGGCGAACTGCTTCCATGAAAAGGATGCCAGACAAAACCCAGTTTGATTCTGTGCAACACGTGACCATTATAAGTCAGCACCTGCTCGATGGCAATGGCTATGTGTGTCTATGTGTGTATGTAAGTTATCTGGGAGGGTGGGCTGTTGACATCACCAGAATTCTACAGCTAGAGTCACAGCTTGGCAAGGCCGGTGCCTGTCCCT